TTCCCTTACACGATGAACTAAGAAAAAGATGAGATCGCAGAAAATAAGAAACCTTGCGGTCGGCTGGTCCTCCACGCAGCCAACCTGATTTCCCCCCAGTACAGACAAGCGTGGGAGTATCAGTCCTTCTGGAATAAAAAAAGGCATGTCTCTTACCATCCCAGTTCCCCTAGTTAGTCAGCAGGCAGATCCTGGTGCAGTCGGAACGCCGTGGCCACTGTCCAGGCTGCGGCCTTCTGAACAAGGGTGCTCGTCCTTCGCATCCCACGGACACGGGACTTTGTGTGACGCTGCAGACACCTTCCGCTGCACTTACTGCAGTACTGAAGTGGAGGAAGATGCCTCGGCCCTTCCTAAGCGCGACGCCCGAACCCTGCTGGCAAAGTTCAATGAGCAGATGGAACCTGTCTTCGCGCTGCTGCGCGAGACGGAAGACGCTGTCCTGCCGTACAGCTTGCTGGAGCCTCAGCCGACGGACATACCGGAATTATCAGAAAGGTACAAACACAACATTAGAGATTCTGGTCCGTACGACCCGCCCCAACAGCTCTCCACTTGGAAAATCTTTGGAATAGGGATCTTGCAACCTGCTTTCTCCTCTTACTTTGCTTTGTTCAGCGCTGTCAGCTGCTTAATGGAGACTCCTCTAGTATCCAAGGCACTCCAAAACGCTGTTATGCTCTTACGGTTTGATTTTGCTGCTACCTTTTGTTTTAAGGAGTAATTTTCCAGACTGCTCCTTTGGCCACTGTCCATAGCCCTTCCTGTGCGAAGGTAATGTACTGGTGTGCTTCCTCCAGGGACACCCTACAGCACCTCCCAGTGCCTGAAGGGGCTACAAGGAAGCTGGGGGGGACTTTTTACAAGGGCCTGTAGTGACAGGACAAGGGGTAACGGGTTTAAATTGAAAGTGGGGAGGTTTAGGTTGGATATCAGGAAGAAGTTCTTCACAGAGAGGGTGGTGAGGCACTGGAACAGGTTGCCCAGAGAAGCTGTGGATGCCCCATCCCTGGAAGTGTCCAAGGCCAGGCTGGATGAGGCTTTGAGCACCCTGGTCTAGTGGAAGGTGTCCCTGCCCATGGCAGGGGGGTTGGAACTGGATGGGCTTTCAGGTCCCTTCCAACCCAAACCATTCTATGAGTCTGAAAGACTATGCAAAAGCCAGTGGTTCAGACTCACTTGTCTCTCTGAGGTCATGGGGAATGCAAACAGTTTGAACACCAAGCGCTTGTTAAAGCTGGTCTGATGACAAAACGTTTAATTTCCGTCCTTTTTTCTGACGGGGACTGGGGAGGGGCCTTGCCTGTATTCACCTCCCCAAACTCCCCAACATGTCATTCAGCTTCGATCAGAAGGTGGGTTCAAGCGTGCTGGAATCCTGCAGCCGACCTGAAAAATGGGCCAACAGAAGTTCCTCTTTTGGCAACATGTACACCCAAAACTTAGTTATTGACGTCCAAGACTCTGAGCCCAAGAAGAAGAAAAGAGAGAAAGCAACTAAAGAGGAGCCTGTCTGGATGTCACGGAGCACCGTGCAAGGAGCAACGCCAGCCGCCCCCAGCAGCGCTGGTGAGTGCCAAGCGTTAGCCAGTACTGGAACCCAGCAGTCATACTGCGTCGTGGTGCAGCCTGCCTGTGGCATGCGTAGCCGGCCTGGTTGGGAACAGAGTAACGCTGCACTTGGGCTCTGGTGGCTGTTGGATCTTGGTTTAAAAACTCGTCTTGTGGCCCAATTTAGGTAGTATTCCTAAAGCCACAGGTCAGGTACCAGGCCCTGAAGGTTTTGGCTCTGGCTGTGCAGTAACTGCTGGTGCTAAGTTTTAAAGTGAAAGCTCTTGGAAATGTCTGCAGTTACAGAATGCTGAAGTGTGGGTAAAAAAGATCCAGAGTAGAAAACCCCCCCAGTTACATAGGATGCCTGTGGTAACAGTAAGCTGCTGCTACCTCTGACAGCTTGTGTTGTGTATCAGCAGTAAATCCTTTGGAAGAAAGGGAAGAAAGCGTTAAGGAAACTCTCCCTAATGATGAAATCATCAAGACTCTGCTGATCCATGAATGCAAGTCATCATCTAACACAGACCAGGCTCCTGTAGCCAAAAGCAAAGCACCAGAATCGGAGAGTGACACCAGCGAGTCTGAAG